ACTTTCGGAAAATTTGATATCGGAATTAAACTGAAAGCATTAGTAGTAAAGGCGAGCTGGCGTTCTGAGTGTTGGCTGGAAACGAACTTATCAATAACTGGCTAGAATCCTCTTGAAAAAGGCACAATATTCATTGCGCATGCCCATTCTCCAGCAACAATGCTTACTGTTCTTGGAAATTGTGAACGACTGTACTTGTTAGTTGTGCCTCCGACTGCTGCAGTCGTCGTGGAGCCCTGCGTGACCCCGCCGTGACCCGTCCCTTTGCTGGCAGGCGCAGCTGCAGCTGTCGTGGAGCCCTGCGTGACCCCGCCGTGACCCGTCCCTTTGCTGGCAGGCGCAGCTGCAGCTGTCGTGGAGCCTTGCGTGACCCCGCTGTGACCCGTCCGTTTGCTGGCAGGCGCAGCTGCAGCTGTCGTGGAGCCCTGCGTGACCCCGCCGTGACCCGTCCCTTTGCTGGCAGGTGCAGCTGCAGCTGTCGTGGAGCCCTGCGTGATCCCGCCGTGACCCGTCCCTTTGCTGGCAGGCGCAGCTGCAGCTGTCGTGGAGCCCTGCGTGACCCCGCCGTGACCCGTCCGTTTGCTGGCAGGCGCAGCTGCAGCTGTCGTGGAGTCCTGCGTGACCCCGCTGTGACCCGTCCGTTTGCTGGCAGCCGCAGCTGCAGCTGTCGTGGAGCCCCTGCGTGACCCCGCCGGACCCCGTCCCTTTGGCTGGCAGGCCATCTGCAGCTGTCGTGGAGCCCTGCGTGACCCCGCCGTGACCCATTCCCTTGCCCGCAGACACAGCTGCAGCTGTCGTGGAGCCCTGCGTGACCCCGCCGTGACCCGTCCCTTTGCTGGCAGGCGCATCTGCAGCTGTCGTGGAGCCCTGCTTGACCCCGCCGTGACCCGTCCCTTTGCTGGCAGGCGCAGCTGCAGCTGTCGTGGAGCCCTGCGTGACCCCGCCGTGACCCGTCCCTTTGCTGGCAGGCGCAGCTGCAGCTGTCGTGGAGCCCTGCGTGACCCCGCCGTGACCCGTCCCTCTGCCGGCAGGCGCATCTGCAGCTGTCGTGGAGCCCTGCGTGACCCCGCGTGACCCGTCCCTTTGCCGGCAGGCGCAGCTGCAGCTGTCGTGGAGTCCTGCGTGACCCCGCCGTGACCCGTCCCTTGCCCGCAGACACAGCTGCAGCTGTCGGGCCTGAACACGATGGGCTCGCTGCCGCTGCTGTCTCACGGCGGCCTCGGCTCGCCCACCTCACTGGCCGGCAACACGCCCTGCTCCACGCTGTTCGTGGCCAACCTCGGCCAGACCATCACCGAGCAGGAGCTCAAGGAGGTGTTCGGCAGGTGAGACGCCGCCGGTTGGACAGCCGGGATCGGACGGCGGGGCAGAGTGGACGCCATGCTGCACTGGTGGAAGCTCACATTAGCGGAGGCTTGCCTGGAGGCGCTGGTCTTGGTCGGGCTGTGCTTCGAACCCGTGTGTGACTCGGCATCCCCGGCTGTCAGTCGCACTAACTGCCAGCAAACTCACCGAGCAGCAGCCTCAAGAGCCGGCAAGCCTGCAGAGTAGCATCTCACTGGTTGCCAAACTTACCCAACATCCCGTTTCCCGGACAGATAATCCCACAGACACAACACAGCCCACATCGACATCTACGAGCCTGTGTTTCATTTCTACTCAAATCCGCGTTTTTCACCTAAAAACATTGCCTCAGCTAAACAGCAGATGCTGCCGGGCCCACCGCTCGGCGTCAGCTGACTGGGGCGTCGAGAGGCGCTGGTGAGCGGGCTCACCCTACTAACTGGTGCAGTCCACCCGGCGCGAGCACCCAGCTGACGCACCCTGTCCTGTGCCGCTCACAGCTTGCCTGGGTTCACGCGGCTGCGCATGCTCACCAAGGGCGGCTCGCCCGTCTCGTTCGTCGAGTACCAGGACACAAACCACGCGGCCGTCGCCATGGCGATGCTGCAGGGCTTCGTGTTGTGCCCGGACCGAGGCGGCATTCGAATCGAGTACGCCAAGACCAAAATGGTGGACAACGGTGAGCAGCGGTCTGTGGCGTCCCATTTGCTGGGTTTTGACGAAGCTGTCTGGTTGAAATGGCAGATCGCAAACCAGCAGCATAACAAAGGGCAGGCACATGGAGCGTGGCTGCTCTGTGTTTGAGTGCCCATTTGTTGTATGTCCGCCGATGCGCCGCGCGCAGGGGTAACCCACCCTGAGTTGCTCACTTTAGTGAGGTATAGCAACATTATTCTATTGACCGTCCTTTGTAATAAATTATATTAATGGATATTTATTGTATATATATATATATATATATATATATATATATATATATATATATTCTTGTGTTGTAATCATGACAGGTCTTTGATACGGTGCACTAATACGACAGATTTCATTAACCGCCTCTGAAAACCTCTTGCCACCCCGCAGCCGTGGCATTGAGCAGCATCCTGTCAGAACGACGGCTGGATGCGTGCTCAGTTCGGTCGGCTGAGCGCGCCTCCATCACCACATCGTTCGGTTTCAGGGACCCAAGATTAAGGCTGACCAACATAGTGCTGCAGTGAGCGGGCGGCTGACGACGAATCTTCTCCGCCGACCCGAGGCTCCTCCTGGTGCCTCCGCCGGCCTGAGGCTCTTGTTGGTGCTCCTGCCGACCCGAGGCTCCCCCCGGCTCCCCTGCCGGCCTGAGGCTCCTCCTGGTGCAGAGGCCGGGCCGCCGTGTGCGTCCATCCGACCCACGGCTGCCGAACATCGACAGCTGCGGCTGCAGCTGCCGAACGCCGCCAGCCGCAGCTGCTGCGTCTGCTGCCGGCTGCGTCCGACTGTTAGTCTTTCAGGCGCCAGGCGGAGCCCTCAGCGTCTGCGCGGCCGTCGGCGGACCCCGACCGGGTCGGGCGCGGGCCGGACCGATTTCTGGCCTTGCATACACGCTAACATAATCAATGCCGGCCTTGGACTACTATAGACCGATGCTCTGTAAAATTGTATTTTCTGTATGGGCGTTCGTTACAATGCCGTGTCGAACTTGAAAACCACTGTTGATACGAATGAAGTGACGTTAGGTAAGCTTATAATGTGACTTCCATGTATTTCGCAATAACCACACAGATTAACTGGTAACCTGGTAGAGTTTTGAGTAGCTCGCAGCTAGGAAAAGTGCCTCAGAAAATAAGGGTGTAATAATTCAACGTTTTTGGATTTCCACTGCACATCATACGGACTATCTCGTAGTTTCCCACCAAACCTCAAGCTGTTTGCATTCCATGCCTCCTCGATTTCGGAAAGTCAAAAACAGCGCATTCCCCGCCCTCCGGCGATGGAGAGCTTGCTGCCGCTTGCTAGCTGCTAGTGTTCCCGTCACCACATGCTGCTCTCTCGAAGAAGCCCAGCGCGTTTGATTTCCCCTCAACGCCAGCAGACCACACTCACATATCACTCCATGAGCCCATACTTATCGAAGCCTTAAAGCTGTCCGCTTGGAGCTGCAGTACTGGGACCCATTGGTCGCACGTCCCTCTCTGGTCCGTGCGCGTCGGCTGCGCTCGCTCGCGACGCAGCCCCACCCAGAGTGCCGCCTGCCCCGCGGAGCAGGAACTGGCCGGGCCAGACGTCTGGTCCGGCAGCGGCGCCGTGGCTGGCAGCGGAGGCCGGCGGGACGGCGACCTGCCGGTCCCGCCGACTCGTCTCCGGTCACCGGGCCGTCCCGCGTCCTGATTCCGTCCACAGTAGCTGCAGGGGCGCGGCCGGCGCGGCGCGCGCTCGTCGGCCGACCACAGACGTTTGTGATATGGGGAGGCGCGGCCGGTGTGAGACGCCGCAACGCAGTCAGCCGGCCGCGGGCGGCATCGACCGCGACGCAAAGGTCAGAGTGCGGCGCGAGACCGGCCGGCCAGCATCGATCGGCGCGCCGGCATCAGACACATTACCGATGGACGCCGAGCGTTGCCTTAAAACTTGATATCTTCGGCTGGTAGGTATCTGCAAGGCCCGTATGTGGATAGTGTTTGTAATTGCCAGCCGAGTGGTCCGCGTGCTTCGCTGGGACGGCGATGACAGCGCGGCCATGTAATATTAAATTGTAGGTACGTTCCCTTTGTACCTTACGGAAACCCAACATATCAGTCGTCTCCCTCCGAGGTAGCTAGACGGGTGCAGACCTTGATGGAAGCCGTGTGCGCTTGCGTTGCGTCTGCGGGTGGATTTCGAATCTCATGCGGAAATCTCGGCGGATGTGCGCGCTCGCGAGGTGCTCCGTTTGGGGCAACACGCAGCGATAATGAGCGATGCGCGCTACGCTCCGAGGCTTTTGATAGTCCTGCTCATTGATCAACACTGAATAGAGGCCTTCACTTGGGAAATTCATGCATATCAACCTGCCTGTCCCATCGATGCAAGGACGTGCTGCGAGCGATCTTGTGTGTCTGTGTGTGCTTGTGTGTCTGCTTGCTTGTGTGTGCGTGTGCGCGTTGTGCACACGCCTTTGGGAGTATGTGAAGCATTCCAAACCTTTCATTTGGCGCTGGTTTGCAATTCAACGCTGCTTGCAGCAAGCTTTGAGCATTCCAACCTTTCAAAAGGCGATACCTTCATGTACATTACCTAGTAGACTAGTGCGGAGTTCATCGCAAGTGCATCGCAAGTAAGGATCCTCCTGTTAAACCAGTTAACTAGAGGCTCGCGCGCACCGCTGAGTTTGCCATGTAAATAGGTAGTGGGTGTCGACTTGAAGTAAGACGTTATTATTCTGAGTGAGAGGTCTCAGAAGGCTGCATCCCAAAGAGTTTAAGTTGATAGTCACTGGGCGCTACACATCTGTAATGCGACGAGTGCGAGTACTTCACTTGTTGAGACACGGCAATGACACGCTGTTATGGCGCACCGCATCCATTTTATTTGCTTTCGTAGGTGAAGTAGCAGATGATATTATCAATATCCCGAAGTAGCAGCCCATATATGACCCGGCGTGTTTCAAACATTTGACGCCTGTGCCCCACCCCGCCCCTGTGACTGTCAACAGCCACAGTCGTCCCAGCAGTATGACTCTGGTGGCTCCGCAGGCTCTGGAGGTGGCCGCCAGAGTAGGCGTTCCAGCTCGGAGTGTGTTCTACACTCGCTACCTCCCGTGAAACAGCACTGATGCCTCGAGCACTAGCGAACTATTCTCGAACCAATTTTAATATTTTCTTTTGATTCGTTAAAAAAACATATTTTCATGCCTTTGGGTCTTGCATACTTGATGTCCCGATCCTGCAAACATGCGCTAAGTGATCAAGACATGTCTTTAATTGCGTCACAGTGTTGAGACCAGCTGCGTTGTGACTAGATCGATATAAGTTACGCTTCGATATCACAAATATTCCATTTGTTTCTCTCCACGTGAAAACGTAATTTGACATGTCATAGTACCTTAGCCTAGTCAATGATTGTCGGCATGTTTGACCTAGTTTTGTAATAGGGTTCAAGATGGTGTGAAAGGCGGCTAAATACACATTGTTGTACCAACATGTTTTAGCAATCAATTGTGAAAACGCACACGAAAGGAAGGATGCCGTTTCGTCGATCACTTGGCATAAACATGAACGTCGTCCAGAGGAGCGGCGCATCCAACATGCTGCTAGTTTCGTCGAAAGTCGAGAGAAATACGGGAGTGAAAGACTCCGTCCGACGAATGCAAGAAAGGATTGCTCGGAAGAAATGCGCTTTCAGAGCTGTCCGTCATATGTCATGACTGCCGTGATGACTGATGATGTCATTGACTGATGGTCGCCGTCTTCTGCGACGTGATTCATTGGTTGCCTGGAACACAAACCACTGAGTGTGTCATTCGCATTAGAACTTTCGAAGTCGTTTAATAAGAGAATTAATGTGAGTCAGTGGGGTATAACGAGCCATCGGATTCTCACTTGCTTTGTAGAGGGCGGTGACGTCGCTGGTGCCCGAGATTTAAACGCTGCGCGGTCGCTAGCCGCAGAGACATCGGACATCGTCATACATATAATGAACAAACTGTTAGCGAGAGGCGCATATGACCAGCGAGCCAATTAAGCAGAATTTAATCGCAGATATTATGCTGTGCCTTGCAAGCCTATCCCACTATTCATGAAGAACAGTGCAAAGACATGGGAAGTGGAAACGTGCACAGTAATTCCACTAGATATCACGGCTGGAGCATCGGGTTTTCTTCGTATCGATAAGGAACAAACTGTTAGCGGCAGGTGCATATGTCCGCTTGACCAATCGTATGGCATTTAACGCCAAATATAATGATGCGTTAAGCCTATAAGGCCAACCATAACGATGAAATCGGCGTTGAAATTGTAAACCCTTACGCGAGATCTGCAGCAGAAGTGGGCGGACGGGACGTCGGATTGTCTTTGTACAGATAATGAAGAACCCGTAAGGGGTAGATCCATACAGCCAAGGGACCGAATCCGTGAAATTTAATGGGAAGCTCGATGTGCTAATCACAAGTAGATAAACCTCGTGGTCAAATTCAATCAGTGTAAAAAGCGAAAACAAGGCACCCTGTGGGCTGTTGGAGATTGTAGCCTGAATATCGGGCTACCTTCTTACCAGTAACAAGTAGATCATTACTGATACGTGAGTATATCTGTGAACCGCTCAGGTGTAATTAAAGCGTAAGCATGTGCTTTGCGAGCTAATATTCAGCAAAGCCGTCAAAATCCATCCGCGAGGGAAGTGAATACGCCTACGTGGGGGTGCGGTTATACTAGGGAGGAGGAACAGCTCAACAGGTTTCCTAAAAATTAAGCATTCATTGCATGGCCTTGACCGGAAAAGCAACCAAAATGGCCTTCGTGCCCCCCCCCCCCAACCTTACCAACTTAGAACTTTCGTCGCCCCTGCGCCATATGTGGGAGACGGCACACATATGCTACGCTCTGATCGTAAAATCCTTTTTTTACAAGTATAGGCAGCTCGGTGTTACGTTAGAGCTGTATGAAACAAGGAAAGCCCATATTTTTGTACGAAAGCCCATGTCTTGCTACTTTGTTGTTGCGGAAGACTGAACAAGCCAAAACATAGCCAGCCATGAACCAGATTCACATACGCGCGCGCATTACCCATTATTTGTTTGGATGTGCTGCCATTTTTGCCCTTCTTGCCCCTTTGATTGGGTGTGCTGCCCTAACAGGCTATGCCCAGGGATGGAGTAAATAGCAATTAATGGAGCACACTGCCACCCGTATACACACAGAGATTCATCAGTTGTACAGCTAGCGTGTTCTGGCTAAAAACAAAGTTATCACAGATGCATTTATCGTGTATCGTTCGGTTTGGCCGTCCAAAATTCTACCTGCATGCCAGTTTGACGTTAAACATAGCACCGCACATGAACGTTTTACGAACGCAACGTACGTAGGTCGACACTCACGGTGGCTGAGCAGGGTAGATAGAGAACGAGCGAGGAACGAGCGGGGGAAAGAGCGGAACGAGCAGACAGGGAAATGTCGGTCCCGTGAGCACGTGCGGACCGAGTATGGATGGCCTCGCAACAGGCAGACAGAGCGCGGCGAAATGAAGGCGGGTACGAACCGAACACGGCCGGCACCGAGGGCGGTTACAGACCGAGCGCGGCGGAATGCAGATACCGGGCACGGACCGGACGCGGCGCATCGGGCGCATCAAGCGCGAAAAATAGCTGCAGCAGACAACAGACTCTACACGCTCGCCATCATTCGCACCGCTAGCCGCGGCACAACCTAGGGCGCGAGGCCGTGTAAGATCGGGGTGCATTGCAAAGTCCTTGCGCTTAAGGTTGTTACGGGACATCATCATACTCGTCGCTAAATTGTACGCAATCGGCCAGCTGGATATATACATCTGCCACTAGCATTTTGCTCGTTTTCGGTTTAGACAGTGCGATGTTCTTGCCGCCCTGCGCCGAATGAGTGTCGCGTGTAT